GAACTTGGACAGACTTTGAGAGATTGTGAAGGATAGAAGGGCCTGGTGTATTATGGTCCATGGGGTTACAAAGAGTTGGACACAACTGAACAACTGAACAACAATAGGGTAGTATGATTTTATACCCATCACGTTGTCAAAAATAATTAAACTCTATTTTTTAAATCAGTAGGGCTTTAGGGAAACATACACCTTCATAAATTGTGGGTACAATTCTAAAATTTCAGCTACGTGGTTTAGTGGATAGAGCATAGGTCTCAAAGTCAGGAAGACCTAAGTTGGAATCCAGATTCAGACACTTACTAGCTATGTGACCCTGGGCAAGTCACTTAACCCTGTTTGCCTTGGTTTCCTCATCTATAAAATGAGCTGGAAAAGGAAATGGCAAACCACTCCAGTATCTTCACACACACACACACACACACACACACACACACACACACACACACACAAGAAACCTAAATGGGGTCAAAGAGTTGGACATGACTTCTCAGTTTTTCAACAACTAAACAACAATTTGTTGCTGTTGTTGTTGTTAAGAGCAATTTGACAGCAGAGTAAAAACTGATTTCATCCTTTGAACCAGTGATCCCCTTGCTGAGAACATATCTTAAAGATACAATTCTATAAAAAATCTCCCACAATAGTCTTCCAGTGCTACATTGTGACATAAAAATGACCTAAGTATGATAGAACACAAGCTCTGACAGGGTCACTCAAACTGGAAAGATTGTACCTAGCGAAGCAAGTAGGGGCTTATCTCCAACAGATTGGCCATTAGGTGATAAATTCTTTGGACTTGGAAACCCACAAAACAAAACAAAGAAAAGAATAAAATGGCTTTCAATATCACATGTCCCATGCCTACTTCTGAAGTGACATTAAAGGGACAAAAAAGGGTGGCAGAGGATGCTAAGAATAATTTATTTAAAAATCACAAAGTTTTTTAGACCACCTACAAACATTAACTGTCAACAGGTATGCAAGGTGTGAGAATTTTGTTCAGTGATAAATGATGTCATTGGAGGAAATGCAGCACAGGGATATTCACATATTCTTGCTATAAATGTAGCCAAAAGACATAAAGAAGTTGCAGCTAAATGACTCACAAATAAAGGAGTTGTCAGTGTTGATGACCTTACCTTGAAATTCTTTTTTTTTGTATTGTCTTGAAATTCTTATGATGAGTTTAACTTTAAGCAGAAAGATTAGCAAGAGGCTAAGGGAGTTTCTGTGACAATATTTATTGCGGAGAGTGAAGACATTGAGAATTTAACAAAGAACTTTACAAGACTCTCCAACTCAATATATACCTTGATACATGGTGACTTAAATGAGGAAGTGGTCACAAGGGAGGAGGGGGAAGAGAGAGATAGAAAGAGAGAGATGAAAATGGATAGATATGATAAATATAGATAGACACATCTAGACATGAATATGAATCAAGATATGGTTATAATATAGATATTGATATAAAAATTAATATAAATGGTATATAGACATACAAATATGGATATTTATGTGGGTGACAGAGATAAATAGCTGATATCAAGATATATAGATATGGATATGGTTATTGACATAAATATCACTTAGATATAGATATAGGTATCAACATTGATAGATTATATCAAGATATAAATATAGATATGTGTACATGTATATGTGTGTATTTATGTATTCATGTGTGCAAGAATACATGTGTGTGTATTTATGCCAGAAAATACAGTTCAGGATAAAAAAAGCTGCTTTGTATGTTACTAATAAACCTCACGCCTGTAAAGATATACTAGAGGCAGACTAGGAAGAACTTTAAATGCTGAGCAAAGGAGCTTGCACTTAATCCTAAAGAAATAAAAGGAGCCACTGAAAGTTCTTGAGCAGAGTCAGACTTGTACTTCAAGATAATTATTTTGGGTGCTTTGTGGAGGGTGAATTAGAATAGGAGGGAAATAGCAACTGGGAGTACAATTAGGAGGCTATTGCAATATTCCAAGAATTAATGCCCAAATGAGGGTGGTAGTCATGTGAATAATGAGAAAGGGGATGCCTCTAAGACATGCTATAGAGGTAGGATTAATGAGATGTGGCAGCTGATTGGATATGGTGAGGAAAGGAGAGGGAAGGGACAAGATGAGGTTCTGAGGTTGGGGACTTGAGTGACTGGAAAGATGGTGTTGCCCTCAACAGGAATAGGAAAGTTAGGAAGAGGAGTGGGTTTAGAAGGGAAGGGAATTAGTTTCCATTTTGGATTTATTGAGTTTTAAATTTCCTATGATCAGTCCTATGACTCAGATCTGTGTATTTATCTCACCTGATAGACTATAAGATCCTTGAGGATAGCACTTGTGTCTTGTTTCACCTTCCAATCCCTAACACATTGTCTCCTAGACACTTAATAAAGGCTTATTGCATAATACTTTATTTTATTGTGGATGACATAAAGAAGTATAAAAAACAGAATCATCGTGTAAGTTTTCTGGCTTTCCCTCGGTTCCATTGCGCATCTTCTGTTGAGTCTAGGGGCTTTCCCTGCTCTTCTCATTCCCTTTTCCCCAGTCTGTGATAGTCTAGGTGCTTCCCAATCTTCTCTCTTTCTGCATTCCCAAGAGTCCTTCCTAAGATAATTAAGTTTGGCAAAGCAGAAACTTGTGAAATTTTCATAAATTAAAAATCAAGACTAGGGAAGCAAAACCCCAGCAAAGGATGGCTTGACTCCCAAGTTTCAGCTGTAACTAACATGGAGGGTTGGATGTTTTTGAGGGTTCCATTTCTGATATTTCCTCCCACCCACCACCCCCAATCCACATCACTAGGAGCCATTATTTCCCCACTGATATTTTTTTTGTTTGTATTTTATTGAAAACTGCAGTATCCAAAAGTAAGTTCCTCTTCAGTTTCTTAATCGTGCTATGTCTTGATCTCCTCTCATTTCTAAGAGTGCAGGTGAGTCCCCTGGGAGGCTTTCTTATCCCTGGCTGCTCCCATTTCCAGGGATGCCAAATCGGAGGCTCCTATTTTTCCCTAACTGCCTCATTCATTCAGTACTTAACTAACTCAGAAAATCTCTAAATTTTTGTGAGGAAACTTTACCGTTTTCATTTCCCCAAAGAGTTGTGAAAACTGCATGTGTGTGAGCATGTCCCTTCCTTCAACTTCCCTCCTGTCTTACAGCCAGTTCCTCCACCCCTAACACCAATCAGGCTATTTCAAATGTGCTCCGAGAGGACATCTGGCAAATTCCCTCTATACTATACATACTGCTGTTGAGCTTAGAAACACTGAAGAACGTCCAATACGAAGAATCATAGTCCTAGCAATGTTGCCTTCGTAATGGTCCAAATGATAGGTAAATATTAAAGGATTTTCCCAAACTAAGTGAAACCCCAGTTCACTGCCTGGAAGAGCCCCCAACAGGGAACTAGCAAAGATTGGAACTCTCTGGCCTCTCACCCATTCTGCCCCGCCCTCTGTGAGCATGGCATTCATCTCCACCAATCAACAGGGTTTGGGGGCAAGGATTACATAAAGGAAAAGACAAAGGAATAGGCAAATCCAGAGGGAAAGGATGGGAGAAAAAAAGTGGGGTTGGAGGGAAAGAAAAGAAGGCATCTAAATGGAATAGACTCTTACCTGTCTTCTGAAGGATTTCAGTGCCCTGTACAGGAAAGGAGAAGGGAGTTGCCCTTTCTGCAGCCCAGGACTTCCTTCCTCCCTCAGGTTACCACATTAAAACAGACCTGGAAAAATGACCCTCAGGAAGCATATGTACTTACTAGTTTTGATGTAGCTGCTGTATTCGTGGTGGACCTAAGGGGTGGTGGAGAAAAGGAATTAGAACTCCCTGTGGGTCTGTTTCTTTTATTTGCACTAGAAGGATTATCCTCGGGAAGTGTCTCTGTTTAGGCCAAACCCTGATGAGTTTGGGTTTTTTCTTGTTTGTATTTTCCAGTGCATTTCACAGCACCCATCCATAAAGTCCATATATTACTCAACTCTTACTTTTACTGTAATCTCTACAGTATTAGGAGGATTGACTTCTTGGGCTGCTGCTTCCATTTCCAGAGGTGCGGGGACTTAGAGGTCATTCCATCAGTCTCTTTGATCCCCATCACCCAGCATTCTCCTAAACTATTACCAATTTGGGAGAAAATACAAACATAAAAAACAAAGAGCAGAGGAAAAGTCTCCTAACTGTAGTTTATAATGTTGCCTTTCACCAAGTGAGGACTCTTTAAATTGATGAAAAGGTCAGAAGAAAAGAAAGAAAATGAGAGAGGATTCGGAGGAAAACAAAGGCAGCACCGTTTAAGTTAGAATGTAACTTTAGCACCCCGTGAAGGTTTTTGGGACTATGCAATCAATAAAAAGAAAAATCTATTCTTAGAAGTATTGCGTCCAGGGCAAACACGGCAAAGCACAGCAGAGGAAAGCAAACACCAAGGGGGAGGTGCAATGAAGCACTACCCTCAGGGAAGTGAAACCAAACCCCAGGACACAAGCTTGAAAGCACTGCTGGGTTGGCTCTGTCCCAGACTGGGGAAGGAGATTACCCCTACATGCCACCTGGTAGCTTCTTATTTTAACTAATTATTCTTTTAAATAAGTTGCTTGAGTTCTGTTGTTTCTACCTTATTGAAAGACTGCAAGCGCCATCAACACCATCTACATGTGTTGCCCTGGAAAAAAGTCCTAGTTGCCTCAGCCTAGTTATGGCTCTGGAAAGAATAAGCCACCCCTTTCCTATATACATCTCAGACTAAGCAAGGAGCGGAAGCCACGGTCAGCACAATGCCTGGCACATAGTAGGTGCTTAATAAATGCTGACTGATTGATCTAATAACAGTGGATGAATCTATCCCACTTCATTATACTGAAGTTAACATGGAAGGGTACCATTTGAGAGATATTTTAACTGACATCCAGCCCCCCAAGAAAAACTGTATCCTTCTTATAGCAGATCATCTTCATTGACTTTTCTGTTTGTATTTGCCTTTTAGCTGGACCTAAGGAATCCAACGGTAAGCTGTTTGTTCTATTACTCTAGTGCTTCAGTCTCCTTCAGAATCTGAAGGGAGCCTTCCCCTATCCTAGCTGGAGGACTTTGAGGCTCATGATTCCTTGGTCTCTCAGGATTCTTCAGTACCCAGAATCCCCCTGCAAGTCGCCTGACTTTGAGTCTCCTCCAGTATCTGCAAGGACCCGAGCCTTATACTAGCTGCAGTTCTTTGAAGTTCCTATTTCCTTGATCTCTCTTACTTCCTCAATACCCAGAATCTTTCTAAATTATTAAGAACTGAGGAAAGTGAAAACCATGGCACCGTTATAGGAGATAATGAATGATCTCAGCATACCTGACCCTGAGTGTATTGATCATTAGGGAGGCAGTTTCCTCAAGCCAGAAATTACACCCTGACTTCTTTTGTTTTTCAGAGCTCCCTCAGAAGACAAACAAATTCTGTAAGTTGCCTATGTCTCAATTTAAGTATCATTTGTTCCCTTACAATCCCCAAAATCCTTCTCTGACCTTTATATTTATCTCTTTGTAGTTGTGCAATTTTCCTAAAATCCATGTGTCTCAGATTTGGTGGGTGATTCCATTACCCACAACCCCCTAGGCTGGAGACCAGGAGGCCAGTTTTAAAGTGGCTACCTGTCCCTAACATATACCTATGTTACCTTATTGTGAGGAACAAATGAGTTAGCATATATAAAATGTTTTGCAAACCTTGAAGTGCTGTATAAATGATAGCTATTATATTATCATCCTTTTGGTTAGTTATCATGGCTTTTCTTTTTAAAAAATATTTATTACTTATTTTTGACATTCTTTTTTAAATTTTGAATGCCAAATTCTCTCCCTCCTTCCTGCCTCTTCCCCACCTATTGAGAAGTTAAGCAATATGATATCAATTATCCAAATGAAATCATGCAAAACATATTTCAATATTAGTCTTAACTAAAAAAAGAGCAAGAAAAAGTGAGAAAACTATACTTCAACTTGCACTCAGAGTTTATCAATTCTTTTTCTCGAGATAGATACATTTTTTGCCACGAATCCTTTGGAATTTTCTTGGATCATTACATTATCAGAGTAGCTAAGTCTTTCACAGCTGATCATCATTACAATATTGCTGTTACTGTGTACAAGACCTCCTGATTCTGCTTACTTCACTTTGCATCAATTCATATAGGTCTTCCCATATTGTGGTTTTCTTAGGGATGAGAGTGGGGAAGAGAAAGGTCATGTTCCTGGGAGAGACAGTCAAGGAAAAATAAACAGCTAGTGACCTTTCAACATAACTCCCTAGTTTATGCTTGGTAGTCATAACACAGGGTTTTTTCCTCTAATGGCTCTATGATTGAACTTCACCTCTGGTTTGGGGTTTTGGTTTGGTTTGTTTGTTTTTTTCATTGGTTGAGTTTTGTTTTGGGGGTTTTGGAGGGTGGTGAAGTTGGGGGGGGTTGTTTGTTTTGGTCCTTAGTCAACTACTCTGTTGCAAAATTCTACATGCTCTGGCGATAAAGAATTATCATTGTTTGTTAAATGAAATGACCTTGAAGTTTCAAGCAGTTAGGCAAACTGAGTGAAAAAATGGAATATAACAGCTACTAAGTTCTCAGATGGGCTACAAACATCTCTTTATTAGAGTGATTCAAGTTAAGTAATGAAAACCAAAGATATTTCTGGCACATAAACTACTTGCTTCACATCTATAAAAGCCATTTTTCCCTGAATTTCCTAATCATAGTTTAAGGTTTCATTTGTATTTTTCTTTCTTAGAGGAAAACAAATAGTAATCATCCAGTTTTTTAAACCAACTTCTTTGCATGGTTAGCCTCAGCTTCTTTGTCCCTAAAAGTGTTGTTGTTGCCGATGATGATTATGATGATGATGATGATGATGATGATGGTGATGTTGTTGTTGTTGACGCTGAAGAAGGGAGCAGCTCTGAACACATTTACCTATGGAAACAATGCTTTAAATAGTGGGATGGTTCCCAATTTGCCAGCCAACCTCTAAAAGTCCTCTTAAATTTTGTCTATAAAATCAGAACATTGCTTATCTGGCCTACCTCCACAGGATTGGTGTGGATCAAATAAAAGGATGCTTGTGAAACTGCTTTTCCACTTTCATTTCCAGGAAAATGTGGCCAAGTTCAAATACACTTTGCACTGTACTGAATAAGAATAAAGGATGCTTTGTTAACAACTACAGGGCTTCCCAGAATTGAAAAGGGGCAAGGGAAAGAGGGAAGATGTAGAAAGGATCAGAGAACAAGGAGAAAAGAAGGAAGAATTGAGGGACAGAAGGGAAAGGGGAAAGAGGAAGGAGAAAGGGTAAATAAGATGAGAGGGTGAAAAATTTTTTTGAAAAATTTAATAAATTTTTAAAAAAAGATGAGAGGGTGAACAAAGGGAAAGACAAAGAGAAAAAAAGAGGTAAGAAAGAAAAGTCAGGAAGGAAGGAAAAGAAGGAAGGGTAAGATCTAGTAAGATGGTAACCACAAAGAAATTTTTTTTAAGTAGAAAGGGAGTAAGTAAGAAGTAAAGGGTAAAACTCATTGAAGGAAGAAAAAATATGGAAATGGAGACATCAAACTTTAAATTAAGAAACTAGATGTCCCAGTTTTTAATGACCTATAATGACACCTATAATGTTTAATCACACCACCAGTTGGGCAGATGTGTGCTTTAAGCCTAAGGGAGCCTTTTATGTAGCTGTAGACAACCCATACCTGGCTTTGTGACTAGCTATTTCTAAATCAAATGGAGATAAGTTCCCAAAGAAATGTTCTTTTCTGAGGAGCTTAGAGTCAGAATCAATAAACATTAATTGCCGTGTGCCAGGTACCGTGCTAACTGCCGGAGATGCAAAGACAGGCATAAGACAGTCCCTGCTTTCAAGGAGTTCACAGTCTAATGGAAGAGAGAATACCTAAAGAGAAGTTAAAAAGCTAGAGAAGGCTAGGGGAGAAGGTTACCCAGAGCTAGACGAAATCCTGCTACCTGGGTGGAAAATGATCTATGAAAGTGAAAAATCAGAGTTGATTTATTCCACCTTGAGGAGTGATGGGTTTCTGGGGATCATGAAGTCCACGAAAGTAGCTGAGTGGGAAGCAATAAGTGAATTCTGTGGGTGCCCTCCTTAAAGGGTGGAGGATCTAGCAGGGATGGAGAACCTGTGGTTTCAAGGCTACATGTGGCCCTCTAGATTCTCAAGTGCGGCCCTCCCTTTGACCAAATCCAAACTTTTTTCTGTAATCCAAAGATTTATTCTGTAGAATAAATCCCCTTAATAAAAGGATTTGTTCTGTAAAACTTGGACTCTGTCAAAAGGCTGTACTTGAGGACCTAGGGGGCCACATGTGGCCTTGGGGACACGGGTTCCCCATGCCTGATCTCTCCAATCATAAGAGTAGTTCAGAGGAGTAGTACTTTAGAGTACAGAAGCCCACAAACTGACCCCAGGGAAAGAAATTGCCCATTAGTGTTTGTAAGAATGTTCAAGATCAAGAGGACCCCCTCAACCAGGCAGCACCAAGGTGCGATTCCCTCTCCCTGTGGCCACAACCCAAAGGCTCAGTTCAAGGTGTAGAGAAAGATGGAGTACAGGCTCCTTCCTGAATTCAACCATAAAACTATTGGAGGAATAAACCCTCTGCTATGACCACCAAAGGACAGCGAGGTGGCACAGTTAATACAGTATCAGGCCTGGAGTCAGGAAGACCAGAGTTCAAATATGACCTCAGATACTTACTAGCTGTGTGACTTTAGGCAAGTCACTTAAATCTGTTTGCCTCAGTTTCCTCAGCAGTAAAAATGAACTGGAGAAAGAAATGGCAAACTATTCCAGTGTCTTTGCCAAGAAAACCCCAAATGGGGTCACGAAGAGTCAGATACAACTGAAAAACAACTGAAATGACCACCAAGCATAAATTAAGGAGTTATAGAGAAAGGTCATGTGCTATTCACCTTTCCTTGACTGTCTACCCAGGAACATGACCTCTCTCTTTCCCACTCTCATCCTTAAGAAAAACTATAAAAACTAATCAGAAGGATAATAACATAATTTAAATCGCACTTTAATGTTTACAAAGTACTTTACATATATTAACTCATTTGATCCTCACAACTGTGTGAGGTAGGTAGCTATTATTATTCGCATTTTACAGACAAGTAAGCTGAGACACAGGGAGGTAAAGTGATTTGCCAGGGTCCCAAAACTAGTAAGTGTCTGAGGCACATGTAAAACTTTAATTTTCCTAACTTCAAGCCCTACTATCTATCTACAGAGCCAACTAGCTTCCCTTATAAGGATATTCCTTTTACCTGAGTATAGTCATAGCATTTGAAATTCAGAGCTAAAAGGGATTTCAGAGTCCATCTAGTTCAACCCCTCCCCCCCCTCCATTTTACAGATATGGAAACCAAGGCCTAGCAAAGGAGTTAAAGTGGAATGCCCAAAATCACAGGTAGTAAGTATCAAAGACAGGATTTGAACTCAGGATTTCAGACTCCAAAGTCAGCAATCTTTCTTTTTTGCCAGGCTCTCTCTTTTCCTTAGAGGAAATTATATCTTTAAGAGTAGATGAGAAACAGCAGAAGAAAGGACTGGGCTGTCTTCTAAGTGCCCTAATTGAGAGGTGAGAGGGAAAGGAGTTGTCCCCAACACAGTGAATAGAGCACCGGCCCTGGATTCAGGAGGACCTGAGTTCAAATCCGGTCTCAGAGACATAACACTTATTAGCTGTGTGACCCTGGGCACATCACTTAACCCTATCCTAGCCAAAAAAAAAAAAAAAGAAGAAGAAGAAGAAAGTAGCCTATCCTTGTTATTATTGCTGCTATAATATGTGATCTCCTTTGGTCACCTTCCTAGAACTTCAGAGATGAAAGGGGCCTTTAGAGATCATGTAATCCTATCCCTAAATTTTATAGATGAAGAAATTAAGATCTGGATAGGTTAAGTGATTTGCCTAAGGGCCACAGAGAGGAGGTTGAAAGATAAGACTAGAATCTAAGTCTTCTGTAGTCTCTTGGGCTCACCAGAGCTTTTTCTACTATACCAGGATAGTTCTTTTACTAGGATGCCTCATTGCTCCAGATCTCCATCATGAGTTTTTGCTCATAATGTGTTGTGGTTTTCTTATTTCCACTGTGCACCACTCCATTGTCCTATGTGTGATATTCATGATTTTGAATTCATTAGAGACAATGGTGTTTCATGACTTGCAGCCATATAACAACACTGGTAAAATACTGGTATTATAAAGGTAGGCCTTCATTTCAGGGAAAAGTTGGGGGAGGGGGTCATTAAAATAATTTTACCATATCACAAAGGCTATCTCTTCACTCTCTTCTTCCTCTTTTTCTATTCTGGGATCAATACATTGTCTAAGATAAATACATTGGTGCACCATCATCCTATGTCATCCAGAAATTTGTATATCATAGTCAATCAACCAACAAGGATTTATTACCAACTAAGCATAATGCTAAGCACTGGGGATACAAAAGCAAAAAATGAAACTGCCCTTGCCCTCAAGGAGTTTACATTCTATTAGGAGGAAAAACATGTACATAAATAAGTACATACAAAGTAAAGGGGGGGAGGGGGAGGGGGAGAAGGGAAGGAACAGGAAGCTTTTATATAGAAGGTTTCACTTGAGCAGTTTTGAAAGAAACAAGGGATTCTAAGAGGCAGAGGGGAGAAGTACATTCCAGAGATTAGGGACAGCTAGTACAAAGGCATGGAGGCAGCTAGCTAATGACTTAGGGTCAGGAAGATCTGAGTTCAAATCCAGCCTCAGGTACTTACTAGCTTCGTGATCCTGGGCAGGTCACTTAACCTCTCTCAGCCTCAGTTTCCTCATCTGTAGAGATAATAATAATACCTACCTTACAGGGTTGTTGTGAACATTAAATGAGATAATATTCATAAAGCAAATCTTAAAGAGTCATATAAATACTAGATGATGATGATGATGATGATGATGACGATGATGATGATGATGATGATGATGATTACAGGTGAAATGTCCTGCTAGGAAGAGTAAGAAAGTCAACAGTCTGAACAATAGGCATTCTTTATCCTCTTGTTGGGTTTTTTTCCCTCTGTTATTTACAGACCAAATTCTTTTGGGTGGTTATGGCTCTCATCCAGGAAACTCTGCAATGTTCCAGGACTTAATAAAACCAGTACAACGTCCGCTAACAGAAAGATCTGGAACACCTCACTATGTGTAGGAAATACCTCTGTGATATGGGCTTTATGCTGAATTTCCTCCACAAAAGCAGCAAACACCTTAGGAAGCTTGCATCTCACTGTTTCATACCTCCTCTGATAGTAATGATTACAGGGTCATCAAACAAGGTCATTTTTGTTATTTCTTTCAAGAATTCTTAAATAATTTTGATATACGCATGGGATTGTCTTGTTAAAGGAAGGCATTTAAGGTGACCAATCAGATTAGATGCTTTTGTATAGTAAACAAACAAGTATAGTAAGATCTTGAATTCTCTGTATCTTTCAGTTAATTCTATGGTGACTAATAGGTTTGACTTTGGAACTCCACTTTTGAAATTGTATCAATTCTCCTCTAACTTGGCAAGGATGCTCTTAAGGTTCCTTAATATGTGGATGGAGTGTTCTAATAAAAATTTTATATAGAAGGAAAATAGTCATGTAAGTCAGTAGTTGTTTTTCTCAGGCGTTTTGGGGGGGATAAAACTGAGATTTTATTTTAATGCCTTTGGCAACTTCTCCTTCAGATTCATGAGACTCGATACCTCAATGCCCTCACATTTGTATAACCTCCAATTCAGGCCTCTTCTGTGTATACAGAATCTAGTCCATCTATTTTTCCCACATTTGCTCTCTTCAGGGTTATCTCTACCCCCTCTGTAAACATATCTGGGATGGTGATACTAGAATCCAAGTGTAATGGCTCCACTATACTGGATGGGGAAAAAAGTTTGCTATAAAAATCTTTGTACATTTTTTCCATCTTTTAACTGTTTATTTTTCCCCTTTCAGTTTCATCATTAAATGCCTTTGCTAAGTTGAATACCTTTCCCTATCTTGTCTGCTTCTCTCTCTAGGTGATGTGGAGACTTGAGGTTCAGTTTCCTTTGCTTCCCCATTACCCTAGTGTAACCCAAGTTCCAAAGACCTTCAGTATGGGACTTTGTCCTCATTGGTGGAGATTAATGCCCCACACCTGTGTGAGGAGTGAGACAGGGTTGGCAAGAGCAAGAGAGAAGTGAGGCTCTTTGAGTCTCTTAGGGTTCTTCAGGCTTTGGACACTGTAGTCACCAGACAGCATCCCACACCTGTGTGAGGCATGAGGCAGAATTGGTAAAAAGCAAAAGGCTTTCGAATCTCTTCAGTTTCTTTGGGTTCTTCAGGCTTTAGGCTCCGAAGTTTCAGGAGGTTCTGTCTTCCAGTTTCAAGAGAAAAAATGGAAGATGTCAACTGCACTTCAGGTTGCTGAAGGAAAAAAGTCTGGGAAGAAGCTAACATGAGAGGAGCTGGCAGTCTCCATCATGTCCCTACCCCAGCTTGCTACATTAGAAGCTTTGAAGAATGTCCCCTTTGGATAGGATCTATGACTCTCTTGTTTTGAGCAGTTTTCTTGCTCTGTTGTCTGGTGTATATTCTCTAATGTATACTTTCTCTGGTTCCTGTTTTGCTATTCACTTGGATATTTGGGTTTCTTTGCTACTTTGTGTCCTCATTGTGGAATTGGTATTTGGTAGGAAGGGATTAAGCCTTGGATATAAAGTTGGGGTCTCCCTTTCCCCATTAAGAAAGAATGATCAGAAGTTTAAATTAAACCTAAAAACCACACCCCCTAAAGTAATAATCTTTAAGGAAGCAAATTCAAGCCCAGAGGAAAGCATCTCCAGTCTCAATCTAGCCCTAACCTCCTGCTTCCTCTCCTGGCAGGAAATAAATTCTCACTTGGAGAAGAGTGGGGAGAGGGGAGAAAAAGAGGCTAGCAATGTCTCTTCCACCTACCTTCGAGCCACACAACATTCCTATTGCTACATGAGGAATATGCTGCATGAACATTCACCTAAATCATTGCTGAATCTATGGAGAAAGGAAACTGCACTGATTAACGTGAAAAATGTTTTTCTTTGGATAATCCCTCTGTCAATGATTATGATGACTTGTTAATAACCATTAAGGACAGTAGGGAGGGTGGAGGGAGTAAAAGCAAGTGGAATGAGAGAAACAGAGACAGAAATGAGATTTAGCTAAAATAAGGTCTTAAAAGTGCCTTCAAGAATTTTATTCTTTTTTAAGATATTATAGAAGGGGAAGAAAGGACCTAGAAGCCTCTGGCCTGGTCTAAACCTACCCTTTTCTGGTTCCCTGGTCTGAGAAGACCATGAAACAATATTATGTATGACCCAGAGCTGCATCATTATTGCAAGAGATGCTTCCTCCTCCACAACCCTGCACTGCAGCTGATACTGAGGGCTCAGTGTTACTGAAGGTTCCATTTTTTAATTTTCTTTAGTGGACAGCACATCAGTAGGAACAGTTTTCTTTTTCTGACCAGCAATCCCTCACTGATTTCTCTGTTGTTTTGCTTTGTTTTTAGCTATTTCTGAAGAAACCACGAGTAAGTTATTTCTTTTTCTTTCATCATTATAATAATCGTTAGTGTCAAGAGTACCTTTCCATATCACGTCAGTATCAATACTGATGGCTCCAGGTTACTGAGGGTTCCATTTCCAATGTTCTTCTATGAAAAGCAAAAGAGTGAGAACTGTCTTCTACCAGAAATGACTTATCTATTTTATTTTTCGTTTATTTGTTCGTTTTTTAGCTCCTCCTGATGGAGCCATTGGTAAGTTATTTCTTTGTCTTTCTCTACTCTGATATTTCTACAGTATAAAGGGGACCTTTCTCTGCCATGCCTGTTCCTATTTCCAGGCAATACAGGGGCTTCAGGCTCAATATCTCTTGCCTTCCCCATTACACAGCATTTCCCTAATTATTAGAGTCTGTAGAAAATGGAAACCCTTCTGATTAACATAAAGAAAAAAGGCCAATGGAATATCCCTGTGGCAGTGGTAATGATAATTTATCAATAACCAACAAGGATGTTCTGAAATAATAGAGGAAGAGGAAAGGCAGAATAAAAGTTGGGCAAATTGCTTAACCTCCCTGGTCCTCAGTTTCCTCCTCTGTAAAATGAAGAGGTTGTACTAGATGGCCTCTGAGGTCCCTCCCAGCTCTAGACCTATTAACCTGATGGGTAAAGATGAAAGAAATGAAGACAGGTTTACCTGCGGTGGGATATGGATGCTACCCTCAAGAATGTCACTCTTTTTCCATAAATAAGGAGAACCAAATGACTTGAATTGTAAGTTACACCTAATGCATTTTAGTTGCACTGGTCTGACAGAGATTTTAAAACAACTTTTCTGCCCAGCGCTGAATCATCCCCACCCACTCTGCTTTGTGGCTAACACAAAGAGTTTGGCATTACTAGAATTCCACTTCTGATGTTCTTTTATGAAAAGTGTATAAATGGAGAAACTGTGATCTCCTGCCAGACAGTCTCTCATGGGTTGCATTTATTTGGCCCTAGTTCAGGGAAAGTAGCCCTTTTCTTTCGTTTTTCCAGTGTCCTTACAATGCAATACCCTGTCTGTTTCTGATTCCAGGTGACATGGGGGTGTGAGACTCAATTTCTCTGGCTTCTTCCCTTACCCAGCCTTGCCCTAACTTACTGTTGATTTTTTTTGAAAGATGAAAAATCTGCTAATTGACAAAAGAGAAAAAACTAATGAATATTCACTCTGGTAATGTTGGCTTGTCAACAACCAACAAGAATATTCTGAAATAATGGGGAAGGAAAAGGACTAAGAGGGGATACATGAGAAAAATGGAAACAGAAACGAAATGTTTTCAGGAGTAAGATCTCAGTAATGCCCTCAAGAGAGTCTATCTTTCTCAGTAAATAGAGGAAAGGGAATAGAGGGGATAGAAGCCTCTAGCCTTGGCTGTAACCTGCCCTTTTCAGATTCACTAAATTAGGAGGACTGTGTAACAACTCTACAACTAGAGCTACATCTTCTTAGCAGGTAATGCTTGATCTACCACCACCATGAAGTGCAGCTGATACAGAGGTCCTGAGGGTTACTGAGAATCTTATTTTGAATATTCTTCTACAAGAAGTATATGAGTGGGAACTGTATCCTCTTGACAAACGATCTCTCACAAATTTTGGTGTTGTTTTTTGTTTTAGCTCTACCGCCAGAAACTATTTGTAAATTACCTCCTTGTCTTTCTTTACTCTGGTGTTTTTATAGGAGTAGGGGAGCTTTCTCTGCCCTGCCTATTCCTGTTTCCACATCTAATAATTAATACAAAGACATGTAACCACCAGGTGGCACCATTGAGCAAGGCAAACTGAGCTGTAACTCACAGGCTAGGAAGGAATTCACAACTCTCTTCAAGGAAGCATAGATTTCTCTCAAAAACCCATTCTCCTTCCTTTTGTGGAAGTACAGTTTTCTTAGCAGTTCATTCCCCACCCCTTATTTTCAAGCCTATCACACCTTTCTTCCCAGAATTCTATCATCATCATCATCATGGATGGTCAATCCCCCACCCACCCTGTAACTTGCTAATACAAAGGGGTTGACATTAGTGGAAAGTTCCATTTCCAAAGGAAAATGCATCTTCCCTAGCTCTGGGTCAGTCTTTTGGTGAGGATCAAAATGAGAGTTGCCACTCCCCAAAAAATATAAATTTCCTTCTAGCAATTTTTGTGGCTTATTAAAAACCAAGAAAGATAATCTAAAATGACAGAGAGAGGGAAAGGGAGACTAAAAACAAGAAAAATTAAAGAAATGGAGGCAGGAATGTGGCTTAGCCATAATAAAATCTTGATAGGTCCCTCAAGAATTTCAACCCATTTTATCAAGTAGAGGAAAGTAAAGAATGGTCCCAGATGCCCATACCCTGTAGTGGACTGAGAGGAATCTGAAACAGCCAGGGCTTCATTATCATATGCAGGGGATGCTTAAAGCCCACCTCCCCACACCATAGCTGATAGAAAGGTCTTTGAGTTAATGGAGGTATCATTTCTGATGTTCTTCACTTGAAAACATTTTAGATGTTGTTTTTTTCTTTCTACCAGACATGCCCTCATTGATTTCTGGGGTTTTGTTTTTTGTTTTCTTTTGTTTTCATTTTTAGCTTTTCCTCATGCAGTCATTGGTAAGTTATTTCCTTCTCTTTTCTACTCTGGTGATTTTTTTTTTTCCTACAGCGTCAGGGGGACCTTTCTCCACCATGCCTGTTCCTGTTTTCTAAGTGATAAATCAGAAAAGTGAGGTTTCATTTCTCTTTCTTCCCTATTGCCCAGCCTTACCCAAAAATATTGCTGAGTCTATATAAAGTGGAAACCTTTCTGATGAACATAAAGAAGAAAGACCAGTGGGATATTTCCTGATAGTAATTAAGATGGCTTGTCAACAATCAATAAGGATGTCCTGAAGTAACAGCGGGAGCAGGGAAAGGGGGATTAAAAACAGGAGGCATGAATAAGATTTTAAAACAAAGACAGCAATGAGGTTTAGCCAGAGTAAGATCATATTAGTGCCCTCAAGAGTTTTCCTCTGTTTCAGTGGTCTGGAGCTGGGGCAGGGGAGAAGAGGAGCAGGGGCAGGGGAGAAGAGGAGCAGGGGCAGGGAAAGCAAGGAGCCAAACATCTGTAGCCCAGGTTGGATTTTATCCTTTTCAGTTCCTCGAGGCTCAGAGACCTCTGAAGTAACCGTACTGCCCAGAGCTGCATCATTACAGCAGGGGATATTTAACTTCCCACCGCTCTGCACTGCAGCTGCTTCAGAGGGCTTAGTATTACTAGGGGGTACAATTTCTGATAGTCTTCAATAGAAAACATCAGTTGGAGCTGTGTTCTCTTTCCATCAGGGGAAGGGAAGGGAATACACATTTATCTGGTGCCTACTATGTACCAGACAGTGCACTAAGTGTTTATTTCATTTGATCTCACAACAACCCTGGGAGGTAAGTTCTATTGATCCCCATTTTATAGTTGAGGAAATTTCGGCTGACATAAGTCAAATGACTTGTGCAGGGTGATACAGCCAGTAAGTGCCTGAGGTCAAATTTGAATTCAGGTCTATCTGACTCAGTGCCCAGCGCTCTATCCCAGGGGTGGGGAACCTGCAGCCTCAAGGCTATATGTCCCTCTAGGCCCTCAAGTGTGATCCTTTGAGAGAATCCAAACTTCACTGAACAAATCCCCTTAATAAAAGGATTTGTTCTGTAAAACTTGAACTCAGTCAAAAGGCCTCTCTGCTGAAGGTTCCCCACCCCTGCTCTATCCACTACATTACCCAAACAATAAACATTTCTTAAGCTCCTACTTTGTTCCAGGCACTCCACTAGGCACTGGGGATACTAAAAGAGGCAAAAGACAGTCCCTGCCTTCAGGCAATTTCTCACTGATTTCTCTGTTTTGTTTTTCAGCTATTCCTCTGGGAGTGGTGGGTAAGCTATTTTTCTGCCTTTACTTTACTCTGTTACCCTTACAGCATCTGCCCTGTTTCTATTTCAAGGTTGTTTCTCTTATTTTCCATTACCCAGTATTACATACAGTTACTGCAAATTCTGTGGAAAAAAAATGGAAACTTCACTGATTAACATAAAGAGGAAAGAATCAGTAAACCTATATGTGTGTACTACATATTCTGGTACACACATACATATGTGTATGTACATGTGTGTATATGTATGTAGATATACATATACATTTTTCTGGTATCCCCTAGCATATGTTGGCTTTTTCAACAACTCATAAAGGATATTCTGCAATAAGAAAATAGGGGCTGAGGAGAGAAGGGATAATAAAAAAACAATAGAGATGAGAGAAATAAGAGGCTGGAATTTGTTTCCAAAAGACACGGCCACAAAGACCCTAAAGCATGGATCCAAACTTGAAGTTTGCAGTGAGGTAAATTTCACTTAAAAATATTCTACCAGTTAAAGGTATCCCAACAGTAGAACCTCAAAATCTAGTGTGTCACCCCCTTCCTATCTCTAAAAGTGTTCAAGCAAAAACTAGATAACCTTTCTGAGGGATATTGTAATGGAATTCCTGCATTGTCCAGTGGGAAGTTGTATAAGATGACTTCTCAAATCCCTTTGAATTTTATAAGCTCCTAGGAGAAGGTATCAATGTGAGATCTCTCTGCTAGGTCAGCACTACTGAATTATTTGCTTGATTTCTTTCTTAGCCATATCTGAGTCAAGCATCAGTGAGTTCTTTGCTTTTCACACAATATCCTTTCATCACCTACAGTGAATGAGAGACCTTTCCCTTCCTTTCTCTTATGGGAGTTAGTCTTAATGCAGGCTTGGGGAGGTTCAGGAGTGTGTCTTAATTAAGATTTAGGAAAGTTCAGGATAAGAAAGACAGAAATAGAGAAAGAGAGAGAGAGAGAGAGAGAGAGAGAGAGAGAGAGAGAGAGAGAGAGAGAGAGAGAGAGAAGAGAGAGAGAGAGAGAAGAGAGAGAGAGAGAGAGAGAGAAAGAGAGAAAGAGAGAAAGAGAGAAAGAGAGAAAGAGAGAAAGAGAGAAAGAAAGAAAGAAAGAAAGAAAGAAAGAAAGAAAGAAAGAAAGAAAGAAGAAAGAAAGAAAGAAAGAAAGAAAGAAAGCAAGCAAGCTCAGTAAAGTAAGCCAGCTTTATTGAAGGGAGATGATGGGGAAGTCGGGGAGAATGGACACAAGGCTAGAGTTCTGGACAGAGTTAAGCACCCCCCGGAACCCCAGAGGGAACAGGGCACTTTCTCTGCTGCTGATTCAATACTAGGGGGTGGGAGAGGCACTGAGAAACTTCTGGAGAATTAGCAGCCAGTTGATAACCAAACTCTCTTACAAGTTGTGGTTTGTCTTTCGTTCTCAAAGAGGACCATGACCCCAGCGAGAAAGGGGCTTTGGACAATTACTGTTGTCTTCTGACAGGGTGACTCAGGGGTTTTCCAGCTCCTCCTCAACTTCTTTTACTGATTACCTAATACAAGAAACATGACTCTCATTTCTCAGCCCTGCTAAGTTTAACCTGAAAGTTCATAGGTAACTATAGATCTGGGGAGCTCCAGAGATCAACATAAAACCTGACATGTGATTTCCTGGATTTCAAGGTCTCCCACAGAGAAAGTTCCTTCCACCAGTGCAGATGGGCACACACTCTGCAACTTTTATCCTAGAGAGCTGCCCACGGTCAAAGAGTCAGTTTGTATCAGAGATAGTGTTTGAAGCCAAGTCTTCCCCACCCTGAGGCCAGTTTTCTCTATCCAGTATTCTACACTGCCTCTTAACATAAATTTAAAAAATTAGAAAAAAGCAGTTCCTGGTGGTGTTTATAAAAGAGGAATGAAGAGAAGGGAAATGAAGACAGCACTGTTTAGGACAGAGTGAAATCTTGCTAGCCCCCTGAAGCTGGTTGAAAATTTAGTGCCTGGGCCCTGCTGCTTATAATCTAGCCATTGCTCAAATTTTTGCAATCTAGCCAATAGCTCACAGGTGCTCAGATTCCTTAAGAGTCTGGCTAATATGGTAGATCTTTAATAAACCTAGTTTTTGGCTGAAAAAAAAAAAGAAAAGAAAATGTAGTGCCTGAAACTAAGACAGCTGAACCACTCCTAAAATGCTGTTGGGTTTTTTTTTCTTCTTTCTTTCTCCTATAAGCCACTCAGACTAAGCAGTGGGATGAAACCGCAGAACAATAGTGGGTGATGCTTAATCTTCCCATCAGGCTTCCTCCTGATCTTGCCAACTGTCACCCACAAGCATTCCACAGCCATGTTCATGACCAAAGGAAAATCCTTTACCTGGCCATCATTTGTTGTCATTCCACTGCCTTGAAAGTCCAGACCCTGTTGTTCATCCTTACTAAGGTCTCTAGTTCAGCTCTGTACTGTCCTTTTCTCTCCAGTCCCTCTTATCTAACCAATCTTGCCCTGCCAAATCTCAGTCTTGTGTAACTAACTCCCACCGTCTGCTGCATTTGCTCAGTGAAACTGGAGAAAAATCACAAGCCATACTGACTGGGTCCACTAAAAATCTAGGTAACATAGTCTCAGCTAGACCTTCAATTTGCAAGGAAATACTTTTACAAGTTCCTAATCAATTCACTTCTACTCAGCACAATGGCTTCCTCACCACCACCTTTTCATCCTCACTCAAAACTCACAACGCTCTCCCTTCCCCTCACCCTCTTCTATTGCTTTTTCAGCTGAGAACCTATTTCACTGACAAACAAGGCCATTCACCAAAACCACCATCTTTTCCCATCCTCCTCCTCATATTGCCTAGATGACTTCTGCCACTACCTGCTCTTTCACTCATGTCTCTCATGAAGAAGCGGCCCTTCTCCTTGCCAAGGCAAGCCCCACTATGTGCACAAGTGATCCCATTCCACCCCATCTTTCCCAGCAGATTGCCTCTCTGTCTCCCCTACTGTCCCACTAATCTTCAATCTCTCCCTGTCTGCTGGCTACAAACATGTACCTCTTCTGTCCTCAAAATTCCTCACTTGATCTGTCCATCCCTGCTCACTATCATCCCATTTCTTTCCTTTCTATTTTGGCTACACTCCCTGAAAAGGCCATCTACAATAGGTGCCTCCATTTATTGCTTTCTTAATCTTAACTCTCTACAATCTGGCCTCCAACCTCATCATTCAGCTGAAATGCCCTCTCCAGAGTTATTCTTAATTGCTAAATCTAATGGCCTTTCCTAAATCCTTATTCTTCCTGACCTCTAAGGGTTTTTTTCTCTTTTTTTTTCAGATAATTGGGGTTAAGTGACTTGCCCAGGGTCACACAGCTAGCAAGTGTCAAGTCTGGTCTGAGGTCAGATCTGAACTCAGGTCCTCCTGACTTCAGGGCCAGTGCTCTATCCACTGCACCATCTAGCCTCTGACCTCTAAGTTTTTGTGACACTTCTCTTTCCTGGCTCTTCTCCTTTTTGGTTGCTCCTTCTCAGTCTCTTTCGCTGGATCTTCATCCAAATCTCACCCACTAATTGTGGGTGTCCCTCAAGGCTCTGTCTGGGCCCTCTTCTCTTCTTTTCAGTTATTTTTAGTTGTGTATGACTCTTTGTGACCCCTTTTCGGAGTTTTCTTGACAAAGTTACTGGAGTGGTTTGCCATTTCCTTCTCCAGCTCGCTTTACAGATGAGGAAACTGAGGCAAACAGGGTTAAGTAACTTGCCCAGGGTCACACATCTAAGAAGTGTGAGGCCAGATTTGAACTCAGGAAGATGAGTCTTCCAGACTCTAGCCTGTCACTCTATGCATTGCACCACCTAGCTGCCCCCAAAACAAAAAGTTTTGGGATTTGACTATGAAGGTTGTTGTTGAGTTATTCCAGTTGTGTCCAACTCTTTGTTACCCTTTTTGGGGGTTTTCTTGGCAAAGATACTTTAACGGTTTGCCATTTTCTTCTCTAGCTCATTTTACAAACAAAGAACTGAGGCAAATAGGGCTAAGTGACTTACCCAGGGTCACACAGCTAATAAGTATCTGCGGCCACATTTGAACTCATGAAGATGAATCTTCCTGACTCTAAGTCCAGTGCTCTATCTACTGTACCACCTAGCTGCCTTCTCTTCTCCCTCTGTACTATTTTATTTAGGGATCTCATTGGTTCCCATAAATTCACTTATCATCTCTATGCTGGTGATTCTCAAATCTATTTATCCAGCCATAACCTGCCTCCTAATATCTAGTCTTACATACCCAACCGCCTACTGGACATCTTGAACTGTTTGCTCCATAGATATTTTAACTTAACACGTTTAAAATTTGAACTCATTATCTTTTCCCCCAAAGGCCACCCCTCTTCCTAACATCACTATTCAAGGACACCACCATCCTCCCAGTTGCCCAGGCTCACCACCTCAGTGTCATCTTTAGCTTCTCACTCTTTCTCACTCCCCATATCCAATTTGCTGCCAAGTCCTGTTGCTTCTACCTTCAAAATATCTCTTGAATACAGCCCCTTCCCTCTTCTGACATTGCCACTACACTAGTATAGACCTTTATCACCTTGAATCTAGACTTCTGCAGTAGCCTGTTGACTGGCCTACCTGCCTGAAGTCTCTTCCCATTCTGGTCCATCCTACACTCATTGGACAAAGTGAGCCTTTTTTCCCCTTTAATTATTTATTAAGTTAAAATAGGTCAAGAAATATGTTAAACTTTCAGCATTAGCCAGAATATGATTTTTCAGGACCAAATAATCCCATTTGTGGATTACTCAGTTTCCTGGGGGCTTCTCCCATGTCCTGTTGATTGTCTTTTGGCTGTCTCATGGCAAATTAGCACTCCTACCAGAGGACAGATGGTAACCAGGGAGAGGCTGTCAAACCCAAAGCAGCTGATTTTTGTTACTTGTTAGCTGCTCTGGAAAGAGGTTTTGTTGAGGGCAAATATTGGAACAAATGGATTTCCTTTATTCATGATCTCTTAATTTCTCTCCTATTACTGAAGAGAAATGAAAGTTGGCTGATGTCTATTGCAATGTGCCCTACATAAGTAGGAGTCATTATTCCCAAACACTCCACTGATGCTTTCCTTTCCTTCAATCTCATTTCCTGCCTTAATCGTGCCAGACTGTGATTTAAGATTGATGAGAATACACGACTATAGCCCCAAAGTTTAAAAAAAAAATTGTCACAAATTCACATACAAGCAAAATAGGTTTACTGGAATGTCTTTAGTCACAGTTGAAAGTAGCAGTATTGAAAACATTGGTTTCTCCATAAACATATGGAAACAATTTCCAAGACCTAATTTTTACACGAGAACAATTATACATTTTATAATCATTAACTGAATGGTTACCATCCCTTTTTACATAATGTTTCATCTCTCTACACATACTTCTTAACTCCCACCCTATCCCTAAACTTAATGCGATAATCCCCACCTCTCTAGTTTACAGTAAGAAATTGTGTTAATTATAAATATCATATCATTTAACTCTATATGTAAATAATGTATTGGCAAAAATCTAGTTTCAAATTAGACTCCTAGAAGATGGTAAAATAGATGTTTCTGTTTTAAAAATAAATTAATGAAAGCATATTTTGGTGAAGGGAAGGAGGCCAATCGGGAACTGATGTTCCAATTCGAATTGGACACTTGTCTCTTTTTACTTCTTGTGAAAAAAAAATTTTGAAAGTCATATACAAATTTCATTAAATTGTGTAGCAATCTTCTTTTTTTTTAATTTTCCCAGACTTGTTTTGTTGTAGATCTCTGGTCGCTGACGAATCAAGAACAATAGAAATGATAATCATCAGCAAAAGAATAACAACAAAGCCATGAAGGCCTTCTCTCCAATGACATCAATTACTTCATCCACCTGATTCTGTACTGGCCTAATTTTGTTGTTCCAAGGTCCAAATTTTGGGCCACATGGGCCCCTTAGGAAAAAAATCCTCTTCTTCATCTGAATCTTTTTCCAAAAAGATTTCTCCTTTCACCTTTCATGGAACCAGTGACATCATCATGTTTAGGTGGCTCTTGAAAAGGCATCTTTATTACTCAAAAAGTTATTTTCCTCTTCCCAATTTTAGCAGGCAGATATATACCACCTGGGCACCCATTGGAGCCAGGCCAGGCCAGGAAGGGAAGAGGAAAAAAAAAGGAAAGGGAGGAGAGGGAGGGGAAATGGCCTTGGATCAGCCACTCAGCTCCTCTGCTGCTCCCCACCCCCTACCCTCAACCAGCAAGCATTCAGATGCTCCCAAAGTGATCTTAAAGCACAGGTCTGACTTAAAGCATAGGTCTGACTTAAAGCATACACACACACACATACACACACACACACTTCTCCCTACTCAGTAAACTCCAGTGGCTCCCTGTTACTTCCAGGATCAAACATAAAATCCTCTTTTTAGCTTTAAGCCCTACCTTTCCAGTATTCTCATACTTTACTCCCCTCCACAGATTCTGTAATCCAGTGATCCCATACTCCTTGCTTTGAATGCTACACTCCATCTCCAACTATGAGCCTTTTCACTAGCTGTCCCCCATCCCTGGAACTCTCTCCCCATGTCTCCCTGCCTCCTGGCTTCCTTCAAGTCTCAGGTAAAGTCTTACCTTTACCAAGAAGTCTTTCCCAGTCTTTAATCTTAGTGCCTTCCTTCAGAAGTTCTCCCCACATTTTCCCACACTGTCTGTCTCTTTGTACACAGCTGTTCAAATGTTATCTCTCCATTAGACTATGAACTCCTTGAGAGTAAGGACCATCTTTTGCCTTTCTTTGTACTCCCACTGCTTAGCATAGTACCTGGTACATAGTAGGTCCTTAATAAGTGTTTGGTTTGCTTTGTTGGTTTATTGTTGTTGCTGTTCTTAGATTTTTTTTTCTTTTCTTTCTTTCTTTTTTTTTGGCTAGGCAATGGGGTTAAGTGACTTGCCCAGAGTCACACAGCTAGTAAGTGTTATGTGTCTGAGGCTGCGTTTGAACTCAGGTCCTCCTGAATCCAAGGCTAGTGCTCTATCCACTGCGCCACCTAGCTGCCCCTTGTTGCTGTTCTTGTTTCTAACTGATCAACCACGTAATTGCACTGTAACTAAGGAGCGTGGAAGCAGCAGGACAGAGGAGTCCCATTTCAGACACTCCAAAAAATGTGTTGGGGGAACTTGGTTCTTGTGCCAAATAATTCTCATGGATTTCTCTATTCCTTTTTCAGCTGATTCTTCAGGAAACTGCTGTAAATATTCTTCCTTATTAGTATCCTTTGATCTCCTGAGATGTATGTGTGGATGTGGGAATTACTGGGTAGGGGAGGTAGGAGAGAGCATTCTCTGGTCTGCCGTTTCTTGTAAGATGCAGAAGGTGGAAGGGGAGGGGAGAGGTTTGAAACTCTCATTTCTCTTGCTTTCCAGTTAAGGGTCAGTCTTACAGGGCCACAGGATCTAAATCTGTAAGTTATCTTCAAGATCACCTAAGTGTAATCCCTTCATTTTAAGAATGAATAAAAAGAGGCCTATAAGTTAAGTGATTTATCCAAGGTCATACAGCTAAGAAATAACAGAGCTGGGATCTAAACTAGACCTCAGACTCTTTCCCCTGCAATCTTCTACCTCTCTTACACCCCACATCCTCATAACTTAATGACTGGGAGAAGTGAAACACTCCACAAAATAACTTTAAAAATAAAAAGAAGACAAGGTTTCTGATAGGAAACAGAACTAACTCTTAACAGAGCTAACAACAGGATATGTTGAATCTCTCCTCAACCCCTCCATGCACTAAAGCTGACATGTAACAACACAGGAATTCCCCTTTTGCATGTGCTCCCCTGGAAAGTCATTAGTGATAGCTCTGTTTTCCTTGGGCTAGACAGCCTACATTGGTGTCTCTCTATGCATTTGTCTTTTAACTGGAGTTCCTCCAGGTAAGTTCCTTATCTATTTCTCCATTAAATGTCTTCAGGTCCTTCTACAGATCTTTTTCTATCCTTTCTGTTTTTCTTTTCTGAGGTTCAGGGCTTAAGACTCAGCTTCTCATGTCTCTCTTTAATCCAAGATTGCCCTAAATTATTGTTGATTCTGTAGATTGTGTGATTACCATGAAGAAAGACCCCTGAAGTACCCCTATCCCTACCCCTCTAATGGAACTCACAGAAGGCCTTATGGATCTCATCCATTATAAGGTGGTCTGTCAGTAAAAAAAAAAAAAAAGAAAAAATTGGAGGATATTCTGAAATAAATATAGAAGAGAGGAAGGGGAGGGAGTAAAACAAGAGGGAGAAGATGAAGGACAATAATGAAGTTTAGTTAAAATGAGATCTTGGGTTCATGGATTTAAGTGACCTTAGAGAAACTATCTAATCCTACTTCACAGATTTTACAGATGAAGAAACTAAGGCACCAGAGGGAGGGGGTATTTGAGTGACTTGGCCAAAAAAATCACACGAGTAGTAAAGTATTGGAGGTACATTTTAATAGAGAGAGCTCCTCTGACAGTAAATCAGTATGTTTTTCACCTCGCCAGGATGATTCTCATTACACTTGATAGTCTCATTCTTAAGAAGTAGCTACCGAAAGGGAAAGGGCACAGGAGCTTCTACCCTACCCTTTTCAGGGTGAATTGGAGTGAGAAGCTTCTGATGCCACCCTATGACCCAGGGCTGCCTCATCAAAGCCAACAACATTAAATGTCTCCACCTCACTGCTGTGTTGCTGATATGGGTTGGGGGTTGGCTGGGGTGGCAGAGGAGAAATCAGTGTTAGTGGGATTCCCATTTCTAATGTTTTCCCCTTAAAGTTTCCCTAGGACCTGTGTTGTTCTTGTACCCAGCAACCACTTCTGATTTCTCTGTGGTTACACCTGTTTTATTTGGATTTTTTTAGGGGGAAGAAGGGTTTTTCTTTAAAGCGCTATCCCCGACAACAGCAAATTCAAGTTCTTTATCTTAATAGTAATTTCGTTGTCTTCGTGGCCACCCAATTCAGGAGTTACAAGGACTAGAAAGCGCTCCCTCTCCCTATCTCTCTTTCATCTCAGTCAAGGATAATGTTTGGCCAAAAAAGACAGAACTTCCATAACTAGGTGGGGGCTGAAGCCCGAGAACAATGAGAAGATTATGAGAACACCAGCTACTGTCAAAGACTCTAAGTCTTTTGATCTAGAGAAATTGAGTCCTATAGTACTGAAAGGGGGAAAGGGAATAAGGATTTGTATGGTGCCTCCTACGTGCCAAGCACTGAGCTAAGCACTTTTTTTATTACCTCATTTGATCCTCACAACAATGCTGTGAGATAGGTGTTATTACGATCCCCCGATTTACAGTTGAGAAAACTGAGGCAAACAGCTTAAATGACTTGCCCAGGGTCACACAGTAAGTATGTGAGTACACATTTGAACTCAGATCTTTCTAACTCCAGGCCTAGCACTCTCTATAGTGTGTCACCAGCTGCCCCCCAATTGCCATCAAGATCTCAAGTTGTATCCTCAGGTATAAGGTAGAAGCATGGGGATTCAATTTCACAAAAAAAAAAAAATGAAAGGAGAGAAGAAATATTTCACATTATTTGCTTTATTAAATTTTCAGGTTACTTGGCTAAAAATACCCCAAATACAATCCACGGAGATATCTGGTTACAAGGAACAATTGAAGATGGCATTGACTTAGGAGAAGAAAAAATCTACTATTTTGAAGAGGAATGCTTCCAGGAAAATGGGGGGGAAGCCAGCAAAAATAAAACCAAGGAAAGAAATGAAGTTCTCCTTGAAGAGGAAGAAAGGGAAGATGGGAAGGCTAAAGTGGACAAGGAGAAGGAAACAGAACAAGAAAAGAGCATGATGTATAAAAGAACAAAAAATAGGATGAAAGCAAGAAATTGAAGGTCAAGGACAAAGGAGAAGACTTGTGGGGGGAGGGGGGAAGTTAGAGAATAAGCAGAAAGGTAGGAAGGCTGAGAGATGCCTGAAGATGAAAAGTCAAATCCAAGGACATTTTTTTTTAAAGGAAGCTAATGGGGGTAAGTTAAGGAAGAGAAAGTGACCCAAATGAAATGATCAGTGTTACTACAAAATTCTCACCTGTTTCCTGTCTGAGTCATCAATTAGGATAAGAACATTCTGTGAATTTACTAACTTTCTACTACTCTGTGTGTAATTTGAAAAAAGTCCTTCAGAGGTTTCATCTTTTAGTTCTCTTGGTCACAAATCTCGGGTTCCAAATATCTGTTTTATAAGTTCATGTTCATATTATTCAGTCAGGAAGAAATGAGGATTTTCTGAAATAGAGTATTGATTAAAGCAACTTAAAATCATTTCCTTGGATTAGTCTAGTATCTCTGTGGGAGCCTCTATCAACCCAAAAGATATTAATTAATTAGCTGCTATGAATAATAATAATAATAATAGCTTAGCATTTATGTAGTGTTTATTACAGGGCAGTTAGGTGGTGCACTTGATAGAGTGCTGGGCTTGGAATCAGGCAGACTCATCTTCCTGAGTTCAAATCTGGCCTCAGACATTTACTAGCTGTATGACCCTGGGGAAGCCACTTAACCCTATTCAAGTCAGTTTCTTCATCTGTAAAATGAGCTGGAAGAGGAAGTGGCAGACCGCTCTAGTATCTTTGCCATGAAAACCCCAAATATGGGATCATGAAAAGTTGACTGAACTTAAATGCATAAACACACCACACCTTTTCAGTGAATGAGGCCAATTCCCAGGTATTTCCTCTATGTACCTCTTCTGCCCTCCTGTGGCTGCCAGACCTCAAGGCCCTGACTTTTGTGCTGGAGAAAAAAAAAAATCATGCCGGAGTTTCTGCCACAAAAAAAATTGGAGGAATTCAGCAACTGAGAACCAGGGAATGTCAGAGATGAAAGGAATCTTAGAGACTGTCTAGCTGAATGCACTTATTTAATAGATAAGGGAAATGAGGCCCAAAGAGATAAGGTGACATCCACTTCTCTGATAGGGGAGCATCTCTTCCTAAGTCACTCCTATTCCCAACTGGTCCCCAAAGCCACATTCCCTCAAGCTTGTCCTCATGCACTAAGGTTTTTGGTTTTCTGTTTTAAGTCAAGCAGTAGCTTGGGATCTTGTAACTGAGGTTTACCCTGTTTCTACTCTTCAGTCTCCATTTCCACAAATGCCCATCTCTTCTGCTTTGAGAAACTTAGAAACAGATTTAGAGTGGGATGGGATCTTAGAGGTCATCAGGTGCAACATCTTCATTTTACAGATGAGGAAACTGAGGTTTTGCAAATTTAGGTGCTCATGTTCACAGAGCTAATAAGCATCAGAGGCAGGATTTAAACCCAAGTTATCTTGATTTTAAGCCTGGCTCTTCATTCACCATGCTATATTAACCTCTGTCCGTCTGATGAAGGTCATAAGGTGATCAGGTTAGAAAAACAGGGCTCAAACATTCATGTGTTAGGACAGGAAGAATTTATTAAGCATCTGTGCTCAGCATGGACAAGGGGAGACACACAAAAAATAATCTGGTAGGGAAGACAGGAAATACATGAAAAACTCAACCATTTACATAGTTTTTTTTTTAAATGGAGAAAAGGATTTTCCATACCTTGTTCAGAAAGAGGGAACAACAGGATGCCCCTGCTGGCTGTGAGGGAGGGAAGATCTGAGCTCCAGATACAGCTGAAACATTCTCCATTCAATCCCTCTTCCCACCCACCCAGTCTCTCAGCCTCCATTCCTACAGCTGTGGACACAAGAAGTGAGAAAAACAGTCTCAGGCACTCTGCTGTAATTATAATCTGGAGAACCTAAAACCTGTGAATCATAAAAATTGTGACTAATCCACAGGTGAACTGATATATGAGTCCAAAGACAGGCTGCAATCCCAGAGCTAATGTCTTGCCTCAGCCTTGGGAGGTGTGGGCAATCAGATATAGAGAGAGACTTGATGAATGACTGATACCACACGTCAAAAGTTGTTTGGGGGAAGGGGGGGCGCGGGAAGGAGGAGAGAAGATAACACAGGGGAGGATATAGGGGTCACTTCAGTGATAGAAGATAGGAGCTGAGAAAATAGGGATAAAGTCACAGTGGGGGGAAATGAAATCTGATCAGAGAAATGATATGGGGGGAGTGTCAGAGAGGAGACAGATGAGTAGCTACTTCAAACCTCAAGGTGGGGATAAGAAATCTGTCACCAGGGAAATGGAAAAAATGTATTCACTAGGAGAGGAGGTGAAGTCCCAGGAAATAGTCATTGTAAAGGAAAGAAGTGCAGGAAGAGGACATGGTCATGGGGGTACTAGATAGAGCGACTATTTTGAAGGTCCCATTGGTTCCTGTTGAGAAAAAATATGTAACAAGCCATTTTCTGATATCCCTGCTGAGACTTCATGCTTACTCCAAACCCTGCAAGAGACCCTGGGGGAAAGAAAGGGGAGGACAGAAAGAATGTAGAAGACATGTTGTAAGCACCCCTACTTTAGCCTCTCTCCCTCCCATCTTTGCCTGCTACTTCTTCTACCAGGTCACCATTCTGATGATCTCTAAGAACAAGACATCAACTAGTAGGCTAATGATGAGTCCCACAAATGGGAAGGCGGGCAGGGAAGCCTCCGAACCCTGCAGGTGAGGAAATGGTGGCAGCTCTGGGAGGTGAGAAGCTGGAAAGAGATGAGGTGAAGTGAGCTACCTTAGCTCTGCTTCCAGGACTTAGCCCCCTGTCCTCATCTCCTTGTTACAGTACAGAAGCTCCTGAAGTCCTGCCCAAGGGCATGCCTTCCAGGGATACAGCAAATCACCCATAACTAGGCAATATTCCTACTCCTTCCTCCACCCATAAAATCAATTCCATTTCTAGTTCAAAAATCCCTCCAAAGATTTCTTACAGTCAGCTAATCCTGCTGGTTTTCCTGGCACTGCCTCGGGCCCTCAATTATGTATTAATTAGCCAGAGCCAAATCTAGGGAGAAAATATATATCAGCATGTGGAATTTATTTGCAGGCCTCCAACAGCCTAGCTATAACAAACTGTAGCACCTATTTAGCAACAATTATTAGTTAAAATAGTGTTACTTGACTAAAAGGGCCAGTTGAATGGGACTTTCTCCTCATTTGGTTGAGGTTGATATCTCAATATCAGATATCCTGACTCATTCAGCTTTTAGCTTTGAGAGAAAAAGTGCATGATTTTCAACCTCTCTTCAGGTTGCTGAAAGGAGAGAGACTCTGGGAAGAAGTCAACATGAAAGAAGCTAGCGGTCCCTACCATGCCCCTACCCACAGCTTGCTATACTAGGGACTTCAGGGAATTTCCTCCTGAGTGAGATCTGGGATTTTCTCTCTTAGTTGAGCTGAGTTCTTTCTCCCAAAGGGAGAGCTCATGTACTCTGAGCATTGTGATATATATTCTCCTTATGTATACTTTCTCTGATTTCTGTTTTGCTATCGACTTGGATAAGTGGTTTTATTTTCTATGTGTGTTCATTGTAGAACCAGTATCTGGTGGGAAGGTCAAGCCTGGGATATGAAGCTTGGGGCCCTCCTTGCCTGTTAAGAAATAGTAATCAGGAGCTTAGCCTAAACCAAAAAATTGCTTCCCTTAGGGAACAGATAGATATAATTCTGGCTCGGTAGCACCTCTGAGATAGCAGAATAGCCAAGTTTCTGTGCCCAACCTGCTGCTCCCATCCCCCAGAGGGAATCAAAGTACCCCCTGGAGAAGGTTAAAGGGAGAAGATAGCTGTTCTTGCCTCCCTGATAGCCACATCTAGGGAGACCCATGTGGACACAAATAGGAAGCTGTCAAAAGGGCAGCTAGGAGGCCCAGTGGATAAAGTTCCTGGCCTGGAGTCGGGAAGACTCATCTTCCTGAATTCAAATCCAGCCTCACACATTTACTAGCTATGTGACTCTGGGCAAGTCACTTCACTCTATTTGCTTCATTTTCTTCATCTGTAAAATGAGTTGGAGAAGGAAATGACAAATCACTCCAGGATCTTTGCCCAGAAAACCCCAAATGGGGTCACAAAGATTCGGAACTGACTGAACAACATCAACCCCTCTATCATCTCCACCCCCCTCCACTGAGGTCCTGTTTTGTGATGGTGACACAGTCACAGGTGAGGTTTGTGCCTCTTGCCCTGGAAGCAAAATTTTGTGGTTCTGTTCATAATTGACTGACAGGACCTGAGCTAGAATCATGGAATGTCAATGCTGATTCCTGAAAGAACTAAAAGACCATCCTTCTAATCCACTCCCCTGATTTTATAGAGGAGCCAATCACTATCCAGGGAAGGAGACAGTGAGTTTCCAAAGATCACAGTCAGACAATGGCAAAGTGGGGCCTAGAACTGAGGTCTGCTAACTTGGTGTAACACTATCTCCACTACAGTAGTACAGACCTTTCAGACAATGGCAAAGTGGGGACTAGAACTGAGGTCTGCTAACTTGGTGTAACACTATCTCCACTACAGTACAGACCCTGTCCTCCTTGCTCATAGGCACTGGCATGAACTAAGAGCTCTTCACTCCCTTAAATTCAAACTGACAACTGTCCCCAACTATTTAGCTACTCCCAAGGTAGGGGAGACTTCTGGCAAAGCCACCATATTACACTGCTACATTAAAGGAGTCTCTAAACTTAGACTGAGCACCAACACATAATTTACATCATGGTTCAAGTCATTACAAATGCCCCTACCCACACATTCCTTTTGTGACTTATCTTTTTTCTTTCAAAGCTGTCCCCAAAGTTCATTTTTACTATATTTTGCCTGGGTACAAATGTTGATGTGGCAGAAAGTTTTGTTTTCCTGCTTTGCACCCCTAGGAATGGTCCTGGTCCTCCATATCCCCTGTGTCCCTCTTACCTTCCACCTATTATCTTACCCCATTTCAGGCTG